ACTAGAAGGCATGAGTGATCATATGCCCAGGATAGGTGGTTACAGTGGAGTCAAAATACGAGAGTTTGATGATGGTAATATATGTCAACCCTGAGCCTGTAAAAAGAGACGACGAGGAAACAGACGACTTACGCTACTTTTATATAAAGTTTTTAGTAATAAGCAATAGGTGAGATAAGTCTCAGTTGAGTATGTAACTAAGAGGAATCGTGGGGTTCTAGAATATAACCATTTAGTATAAATACACAGGTGACTATTGAAAATCTTGTCCGTTAATTGGTCGAGAAACTCAGATTATCACACAATAATCGCCTCCAGAGATAATCTGAAATGGCGGCCAGCTGCTTTGTTGCTGTTACCTAATTTTAATGTCTTATATCTTCTTTCTATCCTGTTTTTAAAGAATCACCTGTATATTTATACTAAAACAATTATTCACCTCAGGCTCAGTGAATATCGGGAATAATAACCTCAACTTCGTTTCAGTTATTATTCCCCAATATTCAGTTCGCCTTCGGCGAAAAGTCGTCAAGTATTCCCCACCACCAAGGAAATCCGAAATTCCCAGGGAGTGAGGGGTAAGGAAAAACAAAACAAAGGTTTTTATGAAGAAAAAATTGAAATTCCAGAGAAGTGGGTGTACCTTTTTTAAAAGTTCCTCCATTGTTGGGTATGCAAATTTTCTTTAACGACACATTCTAAATTCTACATAGAATTGAGGCTATAGGGTACAGCACGCAATAAATTTTGAGAAAATGATGCAAAAGATATGGAATTTGCTTTATATTTCTATAGCTAATTTCTACAAGCATTTTGCTTTGTTGCTCATAAAAACAATGGCTGAACATTTTACATTTTTTAATAACTTTTAGAAATCCTTGTCTGGTGTGAGTAATTTGGATGATGCCACCTGCCTGGAGATGCTAGTAAATACTGATGAACAGAGCCTGGGGAATTTTGGTAAAAATATTTCTCAAGTTGTATCTGATTTCTGTTAATTTAACCACCACCCGGTTAGCTCAGTTGTAAGAGCAATGCTCTGTTGTGCGGGAGGTTGTGGTTCAAGCCTCGGCCGGACCAACACTCAGCTATAAAATATTTGAGGAGAAGATGCTGCCTTTGTAATTACATCTGCATATGGTTAGACCTTCAAGTCTTCTTGGACAAGGACTTAGAACCATAGGCCCTGTCTCCCACCCCTTCCTAACCTGCTGTAAAAAAGGGGAATACATTATTTTAAGTCCTGCATGAAGAATAACATGCACATTCTAATGAGTTCTCATCGTCAGCTCTTGACGTTGTTCCAGGGTTTGATATAAGCAAAAACAATTGTTTAGTCACTTGATTAAGATACATTGGTTTGTGGCTGTTAATCCTAACTATTTTTTTCACTGATTCCAGGTGCAATGCTACCAAATCTTGTTCAACTTAAATTATCAAACAGTGTAATATCCACAGTCAGGTAAGGTTTAAGCATCTGAAGTTTAGATTTAAGGTTTTTATAGATTTATGGTTTTAAAGGAATGCACTGTTGGTGGCAGTGAGAGTACCTTTTGTAACGGCAATTTGTGTTTGACACCCAGAATTAGCCGTGTAATATGCTAGTACAGTGTTCCAAATAGCCGCCTGTCAATGGACAAATGACAGGCCAAATTTCAAGTTTTGCAGGAGAAAATAACAATGGGTTGCAAAAGGAATGATAAAATTTCACTCCAAATTTCACTGAAATGACCTCCTTTTACCACATGCTCCTTTACTATGGCAGGCTTAAAAGGTTTTCTATTTTGAGCCGTGGAGAAGAGTTGCTTGTTGGTTCTCTCCTGTGCTTCAAAGGTTCCCCCATCCCCCCTTCTCTTCATGTCATTCCCATTTATTACCATACATGTATATTGACATTTGTTCTCCACGTCATTGTTATTGTTATAATATAGAGACTTGGGGACTTCTTTGGGTAACCTGAAGATTTTGTGGATGTCGCAGTGTGGACTGACTGACTTGGACGGTATTAGCTCTCTTTCATCTCTTGTGGTATGTGTCATTAATGATAATTATAATGATAATGATGATAATAATAATGATAATCATTATGATGATAAGAATGACGAGAATTTTGCCAACTTTTCCGTGCCGTAAAGAAGCAGGAATTCGTTTGAAACGAAAAACAAATTGAAAACCGTGTTTTCTAAATTGGTCTGTAATCAGGTATTAGGGGCATTTTAAGAGCTTCCAGTTTCATCATTCCTGTAATTTGTATTTTATAAATTAAAGAAAAGAACTTGCTTGCTGTGCTGTTTGCTGTTATAAAGTACTTGAGGATTGGCAGATAATACTCAAGAAGTGTTGAGAAGCATTTGCCGCTGCCCGTTGTGCTTCTCCTAACACTTCTCTTGTGTTCTGCTAACCCCTTCGTTTTTTTAATAACTGCACACAACATGTGCACACATTATATATTTTTTCAATACAAATCAAGCTCGTTGTATCATGTGACACGTTTTAATGTGATTGATTGACAGGAGTTATTTGTTGCATTCAACGACATCAATGACGTTAGCCCAGTCAGTATGTTGGATAACCTAGAGGTCTTGGACTTGGAAGGAAACCTGATTGACGACCTGTCGCAAGTAGAGTTTCTTTCACTGTGCTCATCAGTCAAGAGTCTTAATCTTGAGGGAAACCCTGTTTGTGTTGCACCACATGCCAACTCTTCTGCCAACCCTTGGGAAATTTTTTTATATTTAACATGTAATTAATCACTACTTAACACATGTAATTGAGAACTACTTAATATGTATTTAATTTGTATTTTTGCTTTACATTTAATCACTGCTTTATCCCTAT